GATGTGCTCTCCCGTAAGGAAATGAAAGGCTGCATCCCACCACTGCCAGAGTTGAGTAACCATGGGGCACGCCAGTAAGCAGTGTTCCAGGGTGGCCCTGCAGGGGGCGTCGCTCTGCCACAGTAGGCGCACAGCGGCGACAACAGCCCTTTCTGTTCCAGGTCGGTACGGGACACCAGCCAATCGGGGGTGGGCAGGCACCGATGGGCGATTTGCCACTGCAAGGCTCGGAGGTTCGTGGGCATAATCTTAGCATACTTGGTCCACGGGAAGTCCTCAGTCAGCTTCGAGTCTAGGGGAGAGTCACGGGTCCATCTGTCAGACAACTTTTGGCCAATCTCCGTGGCAGCCCTTGAGGCCCTATACCCACCCTTGACTGTATAGTCCCATATGCGCATAGGTTTGGGGCCGGGCCATTCCCATTCAGCCGGGTCAAACGGGAGCTTAGCCACTGGGGTCGCAGGCTCAAACACAAAGAACCCGTCTTGCGAGTCCCCCACAACACGAACATGCACGAGGCCAGCCCAATTTGCAGACCCATCGAGGTTATCGTTTCTTACCAGTTTGGAGAATCTGACACCTGGGCTACAAAGATCGTAAGCTTGCAATGTACAGCGGCCATTATCATTGCTGCTGACTCTGAAGACAGTCAACGGACAGGGCAGGTCTGCGTACTTGACGGTTCAATCGTCATGCAGGATATCCGGTCCGTTTGTCTTAGTTACTTGGTGCATGGACAAAGCTTCTATGCAGTGAGGATACCTTGGCGCTGGTTTGATTAGCCCAACCCAGGTAGAGGGGTGAGGGGCTGGAAGGCTGTGACGACAGCTGGATAGCTGTGGCGACAGCGGATGTGTGTGGAATGATGAGAGCATGCTGACATGGCATTTTGGATGAGGTGGCACGCCATTGTGTTGTTTGTGGTACCGAGGCTATGACTGGTCATCAAAATGCACGTCGGCTCAACTGTTGAGAAATCTGTTGTTGGGGGCAGCTATCTTCAGGTACGTTGTCCACTTACCTTATCTTCCCTCTCAATCTCTTCTTACCGTGAGGAAGTGAGTCCAACTTTGAGTGTCCTCCCTTTTGTGTAAGGAGTCGTGAGCGCTCTACCTTGAGAGACGACTTCTTCCCGGTGGCGCATCTGGCAGGAGAGGGCGGTGCCTCTGAAGGGCCCTGGTCGAAGCATGGGTCACGGTCACCATGCCAACCCATGGGAGTAGTACACGCAGGTCATGCTGCTTTGTCCATTGAAGGCTCTTTGCTGCGCTAATAGCGGAAACGTGGACTGACCAGTCCTTTGCAGACGCTTACCAGACCGTCTATAAATATTTCTGGCGCGGATCTGATCTGTCCACTGGCTGTGATCGTCGTCCTGTCTGCGACGTTAAATAATTACAGAGGACCTTAGGGGCTGTCCTTAAACTGCCTCTTGATCAGCCAGATCAGTCAGACGTAAAGCTCGTTGCACGCGAGGATAAATAAAGGGCGGTGCTGGTCATAAGCGAGTTCCTGGGCACAAGGGTAGGCCGCTAATGCACACCTTAGACACCGCTGCTTGATGATGCTCATCGGTTCGTTGGATACAGGGGAAGGAAGGTTCCAGTTGGTCTCGAAGATTATTGTTATTTTTATTTCCATTTCCATGCATCTGCGCAAATGATTTACTTTATTTTGATTAGTTGAGGTGTGACAGACTGCCAACACCTGACAGACAGCTCTAGACCAGAACCGAAGTAGTCTACCATTGCCAGTTCTATTTACTGCTGCTGTTGGAGAACTAGTCAGAGTAGAAGTTAGATCATTTGCATGAGTCTGTTTATTTTCGGTTAACACCGCCTGAACTGCGTTCTGAAATATGGACCGAATAATTATTTTATTATTTTTATTGTACAAATCGGTCAGACCCTATGCTGTGGTAGGTTCAAGCAAGGACACTAGTGCAGACAGCGGTCTGCTATAGCTGATGTGGGAGTGTAGAAGTGAGTAGGAGGGAGTTGACTAATAGAGGCTGACATGGTGCAGAGCCCTTAGAGAGGCTGCTGTGAACAAGGTCTGTTGAACCCACTGAAAGCAGTGTGTAGTGTTGGGTCTGAAAGGCAGCAACAGCAGCGGAGCAACGGTTAGTAAAGGCTGCCGCAGCAGCAGTGGCATGAGGATCCAGCAGACAAGTCGTGCAGGCTGAGGCACTATCTGCCAAAGTAGTGTTAACCAGACAACAGTCTCAAGTCAAATGGCGAGCTTGCAGTTGAGCAAGCCGCTCCAGCTCACGCTAGCCGACCTGGACATTCAAGAGGCAGTAGACATTCCTATTCAGCTAGAAGTCGGGGTCAGTGACGCAATGGACAGGAAGCAAAGGATTAGAGATAGAGCCATACTAGTTAGTGGAGACGACAATGACAAAGTTAGGTTAGAGGGATCGGAAGGAAATGAACTCAGTAACGCAGAGCAGGATCTGCGGGCATGTGAAGTAGGCATGCAAGAGTCCATGTCCATGCGAGAAAGTATGGACACTTCTCTCCTTTCCAGCCAGGTTCAGATACAGAGGGTGGACAAATTGGTACATCCTTAACTGCGCCGCTCAGTGTCCTGAATGAAAGGCAACCTTTACTTGTCTCATCGTCGGCGACTAGAATGCCGCTGGTGTCAGGTCTTTCTCTAGCTAGGCTTGGTACTAGTCTGTCAGGCGGACAGTTAGCTGTAGACATGCAGGCTCAGTATGCTTTCTTTTCTTCCCTTCAGACGGCTGTTTCTACAGAACAGCTGCACATACCCCAACCTGCACAACAAGCAGCAGTGCAGATTGATGGTAGGACCCAATGGGTTCCGGATGCAGCATTAGCACAGGCGGAGTCTGCCACAAGAGTAGGAAAGACGAAGCCCTCGATGTTTGGTGGAGGCAGGTGCTGACGCACATTAGGAACAAAAATGAATGTCAAAGGAAGTAGGTGACCGCTGCAGCAGCACGGTGGTTAGAAGGGTTAGTACAACAAAATGGGAAAGACCGGGGCCTTGATTATTGGACTGAGGTCTGGTGTCCTAGGCTACGGGTCCTAGGGATGTTGTATGGGACCCTTGATCTCATGATTACTCCATAAAGAAAGAATAGAGAATGGGGTAGTCCTTGGGACCACCGGAATTGCGTACGAATACCCAGGGCCCCGTACAGTTAAGGCCCTGAGCGTGTGCTTTCAGAGGCCGACACATCATACAACAGCCACGGACCAATGAGATTGCAGCAGGCCCGTGGACTGCCTGGACGTGCCCAACTGTAAAGGGCCCAGGCCCGTAACTGCAACTGGGCCTGCACGCAGGCACTGAGGCCTGACTGGAAGCTACTGGATGCTCGCCCAGCCAGGCCCAGAGGCAGCAGAGGCTGAGATCACTTTCCATATAGGAAAGTGAGCATCGCTGGGCAGGGCATTCTGGCCTAGGCAGGCAATGCCGCCACGCTGCTGCGTTGCACCTTCGTGATCTGCACGAAGCTTCCGGCTGGGTCGCGCACACGGGCGCTGAGGTGTGAGGTGCACTGCTGGGCAGTGGGTGCACGGCAGCCATAGCCGGGCTGTTGGGCGCAGGTCTGGATGGCAATGGTGGTCTTTGGGTGTTGAGGATGCACACTGTGGGAAGTCAGGAGTGATGGGTAGAGACGAGATACATACTTGGTGCATGAGGGAGGTCAGCTACGGTGTTGACGTCATGTACATTGGTCTTCAAGGTCGAAGAGAGCCTGTTGCGTGAACGCTGRTGTAGTAGGATAGGCGAGTAGTGTAGGCTGGGCGCTGGGCGCCAGACAGAGTAGGAGCGACATTGGATACGGTGTTGGTGTGGCCTGAGGGCTTGGACATCGGCTCGTGAGTTCATTGTATTGCTCTTATCTGGATGGAATCTCGGTGCATTTGCACTCTCTGCTCGCAGATGACTACCTGGGCATCTGTGTGATTTTGCAACTTGGTTTGCTGTTTATCGCTCTTGCTCATATTCCTTGCAATTGCATCAAGCGTGGTGTGGCGGCCATAGCCGCAAACGAAAGACAATTCTGCAATTCTGTGTTGTTGCCAGGGCATTGACTTCAGAGCTCATGCGTGTTCAGTATTTGTCCGGCTTTGTGTGCAAATTCATTGCAAGCATGTGATGCATGCAAGTTTCTTTCCACACTCACCATGTCAATAAAATTGACAAAACAGAAACACGACTTAACCAGGTTCAGCCGCATGGTGCGCAGCTCCAGCTGCAAATTTGATCTGTACAACCTATAGCTGACCATGTTTCTGACTTCAAATGATCTGTGCTCTCTGGCCTCTTGGAAACGCGACGGAAATCCGTAGGATTCACTGGTGAGAGAACTGGTGTTTTTTTTTTTTTGCCCAAAAGAAGACCACTGGTGGTTTTAACCTGCCAATTTGCCAAAATTATTTTTTTAAGTGTCTCACTGTCTACCATAAAGCCAGCTGTCGGGTACTCTTATTATCTTCACATTTCTGGTGTAGTATCATATTTGATCTTCCAGTCAACTTCTCAACTATTTCCCCCCCCCTTTTTTTTTTTTTTTGCCTTGTTGATGTTCTCGCCTATTTCAAATTTAAAGAGTTACTATTTTAGTATTTAAATTTTGCCATACAGTTTTTCAAATTTGTCCTACAGTCTTTCATACTTGTTGCACAGTCTGTCAGACTTGTCGTACGTTGGGCCTTGCTCGACTACAGTGCACTCTACATGCACTTGGACGACTTTCGGACAATTTCATCCGGACAAGTCCAACATTTTGAACGTATCCAGTCCAAAAAACGTCCAAACGCATGTAGAGTGTTGTGAAGTGGAGCGAGGCCCATTCTTTCAAACTTGTCGTAGTGCAGTCTTTCAAACTTGCCATACAGTCCTTCGACCTTGTCACCTATTTCAAACTTGTCAGGTACTCTATTGTTCCTCTCTATGCTCATCTGGAAGTTACTTTTTCTTACAAGTTAAAACTTAAAAGTTACTTTTTCTTGTTATCATTTGAGCGTATCTTGCCGTACATTCTTTCATTTCACTTAAGAGTTAAAACTTAAAAGTTACTTTTTCTTATTATCCACTTTTGACTGCTCTGGTTCATGACCGCTGCACATATTGCCGGCTTTGGGGACACAGGCTGCGAAGGCCGGGCGGGCTATGCCCAGATCGGCATGAATGAGTTAACCGGGACCAGCCTGAACGTTGACGATAATACACCACGGCTGGTTGCCTTTGAAAGAGAAAGAAGAAAATAATGGTTCACATGTTTGCCATTAAACTGAAACCGCCAACATGCTTACTCAGCTGTGTCTGTTCCTCTCCCATTCTATTTCCCCCCCACAGAGTCAAACCGTCCATGACGGCTGCAGAGTCATGACTTGCATCTTTACCTGTTGTCCGTATGTCCAGAGTCATGTTCGTGAGGACATACGTATAATACGTGGAAAGCCGCTTTTGGCAAGTATAAGAGAAGCACCAGCCATGATCCATCATCCCATTCATGATGTTGACAGAGTCGTTCTGCCGGAATCGGACAGGTCCAATCCTTCTGGTCTCTGTATCAAAGTCGCGACTTTCAAAAATGAACTGCACCCACAAGCATCTCATCACAAGGCTTCTTCGTTAGTCACATTTGTCCGAAGCAAGTCATGCTGTCAGGTAGCCTGCTGGTCAATCCATCCATCAGCCAGCCAGTAACTCACCTAGCCAGTTTGTTACCCAGACTCCAACCACATTATGATGTTGGTTGCTGCTTCAACGGGCCTAGCTCAGCTGGCACACCCATGAATTGTTAAATGCAGATCTGAGTTTGAAATTTGAATCCACATGAACTACATAAAATACATGAACAAAGAAGTCGAAGAAATATGAATCCTCAACGTCATCGCCCAGAAAAATGATGTTGGTCGCCGGGCCAAGTAGACGGGCAAGCCGGTTCGAAAGACCTATCAGTTACATAGACAGGTAGGCAATCATCTGCCAGCCAGCCATCCCGACAGCCAGACAGCTATCCACTCATTCAGCTACCGTCTTCCCCCAAATAAAACGTATGGCGATTATAGCTGTATTTTTTTGGGTCTAGAAACAGCAATAACGACTGTACGTTCCATTTGGGGGAAGAAGGTAGTAGCTTGGTTTGCCAGTAAGCCGGCCAGCGCTGATAACACTGTGACTTCATAGTAGGGTGAATATTGTTGTTCACGCGGCACTTTGTCAAAGGTACTTTTTTGTCTCTGTCATTTTCAACAGAATGCCTTTCTCATATTGAAACTCATATTGACTTTTGATCCTCAGAGAAATACGGGCAAAACATCCTAAATTAGCAGAACATCCCCCAATTCGCCAGTGGAGAGTGCGACAAGGGCCTGTTGAAGGAGCAAGAGGATACTAAGTGAAGGATGGAACAGATGACCCAATGGTTCGCACCAATGCCTTTTAAGTTCACAGTCACTCTCCCAACTTTCATCAGCAGAAAAACAGCCCCTGTTCACCAGGAAAGTGAGACATGGGCCTCAGCAAGCGTGCTAAATGAAGGATGGCACAATCGACTGAATGGTTCACACCACTGTCTTCGGTGCTCACATGCCCCTGTAAGCTATTATCCAGGCTGTAGTGAAAAGAATCAGTTCCTGAAAGCCTGTGACAGGTATTTTTATCAATGCTACCAGGGTATGCGAAAAAGAAAGGGGAAAAAAAGAGAAAAGCAATCAGCTTGAATCAGGAAAAGAAAAAAGATTAAACGAATCAGTTCCCTTATGTCGTTGATCATTTACGAGGCAAGTTGTCATTCTTCAGGTCACCCAACAACTACATTGATGGAATTCAGGAAAGAGTGAGGAAGTTCAGAGTCTAAGGGCCTCACCCCACTGCACAACATTCTGAATGTATTTTGAAACATCCGGTCGGTCCGCATGTGTCTGGATGACACCGCCACCTAGATGCATGTAGAATGTTGTGTAGCAGCGCGAGGGCCTAGCGAACACAAATGTCGCATGGCTGCATTCCTCACTGTCATGGCTGCAGTCTGCCAAATTAGTGCATACTACATGGGGTCCACATCCGGACCTATTATGTCACTCTGGGTTCAAACTTCAAACGCTTGGAAGCCTCTCTCAGGACATGGCAAACACTAATGACAAAGATGATGAGATGTCAATCAATACTAAGATTTTGATGTACACAGACCTATTACAGCTTGATGATACAGGAACAGCAAGATTCTTATCGAATCAGCATTGATATCAGGGAGAAATTAGTAAATTTTCATCCATTTACCGATTTGGATGTACACAGACCTATTAGGGGCCCAAGGTGGACTACCGTCGTCACCCAAATAGAGCGCCCGGCCTGTATTTGATGCAACCTTCAGTCCAGATACGGCAATAATTACCGGCGTTCTATTCGGGTGAAGAGGGTAGTTAAAGACTGACTGAGATAGAAACAACCAGCAAGTTGTTCGGAAAGTTCTTAGTTCTGCTTTCAGCTTCTGATAATAAAATTACATTTCTGAAGAAAAAGGAAGAACAAAGTTCCTAGTTCGGTGAATGGAATGACCGGGGAGAAGTTGGAGAAGACTCAGATGAGTTGACGACTTGACAGTCTGGGCGCAGTCTGCGATCCAGGACTGATTCAGGTATATAGCATGTCCTTGCTTTGACTGCTGTTATTGAGGAGGATGAGGAGGAGGAGGAGTAGGAGGAGGAGGACCCAGTGGGAGGGAAGGGAATCGGATGTTATGGGAAACGAGAACTTGGCGAGAAGGAAGGGAATGGGACATGAGCACCATGGCTGACACAAGTGACAGCTACCATCCACATAGTCACTTGCGTTATCCCTGATAACATATTTGTAACCGAGTTTCAACTTACACCTTTCTTCTTACCGTCTTCACCCGAATAGAACCGCCGGTCATCATAGCTGTACGCGGGCCAACGTTCAGTCTAGATGCCGCAATAATGACCGGGTGTTCTATCCGGGTGAAGACGGTAGCAGGCTTATCCACTGTAGATGACTGGAACAAAATCCACTTCGTCTTATTCAACTTGAAAACAAACATCAGAAGTTCAGAGAACTCAAACAAGAGAAAAAGATTGGGAGGACCTAGCGGATGGAAGTAAGTGGTCAAGTTCATTGAGGTATATATTTGAGAGTAGGGGACTAAGGCTGAAAGGCCTGGCTGTGCCCATCAGCAAGCTGACCGATGTGGGTGGGATACCATCAATGGTAGCCAGTGAGAGAAGAGAGTGATCGAGGACGATGCCATGCATCGTGTGTTCGCAAACTGGGGGCATAAACCTCACTGAGCCAAGAAAAAATTGCAGTGGCATCAGTGGTTCTGGATGAATGTACCTCATTGTAAACACCAATGAAGAGCTACATGGACGCTTACCCGCACAGTTTGGTCAGGTAGACTCATCTTGAGACACAGAGGCCACTGCAGAGTTGTGCAGTTTGTCTTGTTTGATTGAAAACATACGTATTTCAGTAATGGATCAGATCATGCAATAGGTGATAGGAATCCCAATGAGTAGGTTGTCGAGTCCAGCTTTGGGACGTCTACTTTGTGTATACAAAAAAATGAAGTCAAAGTTCTTCACGGTCTAGATTTACAACAGCTACGTTTTTTTGGAGTTTGCCTCATATAGACGTTGTCCCAGTTTTTGTGTGATACCAAAAAACGTCACATATTCCAAACTCACAGTTGAGAATGCTCTGCAACGTTTGTCTGAATGTCACGACAAGAACCTCATGCTCAAACAAACCAATCAAGGCAATTAGTGGGACTACATAGGCTGTGTTCTGAAGGTTTCTCAGTCCCCAGGATGGATGGATGTTATGTGCAACCAGTGTGTGCGATACCAACAAACGTCACATTTTTCTCAACTTACGATACCAACAAACGTCACATTTTTCTGAGCTTACAGTTGAGAATGCTCGGCAACGTTTGTCTGAATGTTACGACAAATGCTCAAACAAACCAATCGGGGCAATGAGTGGCCCAAGTGTGCTAGCTCAGTTGGTTGAGCACATAAGGGGCACTCAGGAGGTCGCGGGTTCGCTTCCCAACGTCCTCCTTTCGATCCCCCACAGCCTCCTGGGGTATGCTTCGGGTTCACCAGTGGAGATGGTTGGCTTGGGCCTCCTGGCTGGTTGTGGAAGTGATTTAGGAACTTCCCAGCTGGCACCAAGGTTTAGGTAGTGTGCCGCATAGATTTGCGGTGTGTTCTGGAAATAGGTAGTGTTTGGTAGACGCATAACCCTTAGGATTGTCTCCATGGCCTAGTGTATAATACTCAGGAAAAAAAGAATATGAAAAACTGTCCCCCTATGAGGAGAACATGGCTAAAAAAAATAAAAAAATCTGAGTGAGGACGTCGCCCGGCCGGTTGGGCCTGGGGGGCCCGCCCAGGTAAACCGGTTGGGCCAAAAAACAGCCCAGGATTTTTTTTTATTTTATTTTTGAAACCGGGGTCATTCTGCCTTCGGCGAGAGGACCCCGAATCTGCAATAAAATTTTGGTTTTTTTTTTTTTTTTGGGGGGGGGGGGGGGGTTGGTCTGGGTGCGAGGTGCTGGGGTTGGGGGTGTCTGCATGTATGTTGCCTGCTGTGTGCTGAATGTATGTCATCTGATATGTACTGGGTTGGTGGGTCTGCATGTTTGTTGCCTGCTGCTCTGATGTCTGCTGCATGCATGTTATCGGCCCTTTCATTCTGAAGAACAACAAGACTGACAAAAAATGAAGAAGACTGACGAGAAGAAGAAGAAGAAGAAGAAGAAGAAGAAGACTGGTAAGATGGAGAACAAGAAGAAGAAGACTTACAGACTGACAACTTGCAGGAAAACTTAGTTCTTCAGCAGCATAATCAGCTGAATATGGCCAATATTGATCCACATTCGAACCTCTCTCTCTCTCTCTCTCTCTCTCTCTCTCTCTCTCTCTCTCTCTCTCT